GTTGTCCATTTTTGAAGATATTTATGATGTTTCTTGCTCAAATTCTATAAATACGACCATATACCTCTGTTTTGAGGGTTGAACAATTGAGAGAAAGCCTATACACATTGAGAGAGCTCCTTCTTCCTTATTCTTCCATTGCAAGCTATCTTTGAATTAACCTACCTTCATTTTCTCATCTATAGACACCATACACAATCTTGACTTATCATCTTAGAACCTTGGTTGACCCTTGAGAAGCATAATTCAAGTTTGAGAGTGTGTCAAGAGTGAGTTTGATCATCAACCCAAGCTTACTCCATTTTGAGAGATATAAGCTTGTAACTCTTGTTCTTTCTCTCTCTCTCTCTCTCTCTATATATTTCTTGTATTGTTTGATATTTGTTTTTTTTCACCTTGCATAATATCTTACCGGAATCTTACTACCATGGTAGCTTGAGAAACAATGCTGTGGATATTCAGAGTCATTATGTTTTAACTGGTATCATACTACTTTCAGTGTAAGAATCAAATGCTTAGGAAAATATATGTTACAATTCATTTTTGCTATCTTGCAGGATATAGTAGGAACCCTCAAACAGAAGCTTTCTTGCAGTTTCTAGAACTTCCTTATATTCTTGATAACAACACATCAGAATCAAGGGAACAAACCCGTAGTCCGGCTTCCTTTGTTTCTACAGGTATAGGAATACGTTTCATCATTCTTTTACTGCAATTATTGAAGTATTGGGCGACAATTCTGGTCAGACCAGTGTAGGCCCAAAGTTGAACTTCATTGCTGGCCTAATTGATTGATTTAAAAGTTGAACTTCTCGTGTCAAAGACCAAACGGTGACCTGCATTAAAAATTTAAGAAACTCCTTGACTGTTTTCTTTGAAACTTTCATCTGGAGTTTGTTGCGTTGATGCTTCCATTCCTGGAAGTTCGTTACTTCTATATTATAGTAAACTTTTTCCGCCTTCCCTCTCCTCCATCCACATTGCGGGGGAATGACACCCTTGTTATTGGTACAGGTGTAGGTTCCTTTGACCATGACAGTGACGTGGATGAAATAGAAGAACTTGCTGAAGCTCATGATGCAGAAACCCAGGAGGAAATTTTATAGAACTTTGGAAATCCCTGGGTATTCCACCAAGAACCAAGTTAATGTCGTTATCGGCTTCATTGATACCGGTTAGTTGTCTTTCCCTTTCTATCGAGAACAATTGGTTTCATTGATTAGTATCACTGTATGTGTATGCATAAATTAGACAATGTTCATTTATTAGTTCATTATGGAGACATGACCTCTGGGCTCTTCCTAGGATTACGAGTAGAAAACAAATTGACTCTCTGTGCTCATTGAATACAACACTTGCTCATTCTTTAATGAGTACCCATTATCATTTTCTTTGATGCCCTGTTTGTTTGAAGTCACAAGTATGTGAGCTAACAATGCCTTTCCTCACTCTTCATTATGATTTCGAACTAAAATGAGACTTTTCATTATGATTTTAGAAATTATAGGTTCATTTTGTTTAATCAAAAAACACTCATCATTCTGGTCCACTTTTCTTTTTAATCCTCTCTTTGTCACTGTTTTTGCTAACAAAGGCGGTCTCTCTTGCCACTGTTAAGATTGTAGTAGAGTTCTTTTTCACACACACAACTCTCAAATTGTTGTGAAACATATTGAATTGCAACATATCTCTCTCACACTCTATGAAATTGCAATTAATTTCAAATGTCAAATGAAGAGCATTTAAGTGCTATGCACACAATTGCGCATACTTATCATTAATTAGCATGTAGACATTTATACTTTAGCTGGTTTTGCTACATGCTGAACTTTTGCTGTGGTGTTTATCTGGGACATTGTCAGATTACTAGAGTAGAGTACAGACTAATATTCTCGTTTTTCTTGCGCTACGTAGATGGAGCTTATTGCCAAAATGAGGAATCCGTTTATTGTGGAGTATAAAGATTCTTGGGTAGAGAAGGTCAGTAGATGTTATATCTTGTATTATTGATGTTGTTCAATTGACATTGGTATTTTCTTTCATCCTTTGTTTTCTGATGGTCTAATAGGCTACCTGAATGTCTATTCTATTTGTTTTTGTTCCTTCCTTCCTGTCATGCTGATATTGCTTTCATATGCTTCATTGTTTAACCCAGTTGATCATTGGTCTTAACATTATGAAACTTTACTCATTAAATGCCATCATTTATGGATACTTCTCTCTCTCTCTCTCTCTCTCTCTCTCTTTCTATACATATATATATATATATATTATTTTGTGTAGTTCTCTAAATCCAACATGTGTTTTCCTCTGCTCACCTAGATTATGAAAGTTTTGAGAAGCTAATTAAGCAATGTCATGAATTAAAACTGTTACAGTGACTTTCCTCTTTTATTTATTTTTCTATTCACTTCAGAATAGTTGCATATGGTCTGTCATTTTTTGGATGTTACAATTCACAATTTCATTGTCTTGGCTCTCAGGGCTGCTATGTATGCATCATTATTGGTTATTGTGAAGGAGGAGACATGTGAGTGACTTTTCTGGCTAAAACTGCAATACTTGGCTTAATCCATTTACTTGGGCTGAAACTTTACATGCAATCTATATGATGTCATCTTTTTTGCTACTTTGTCTTTTACAGGGCAGAAGCTATAAAGAAAGCAAATGGTGTTCTTTTTTCCGATGAGGTTGTTTTATATTTCTAGTATCTTAGCATCACATTTATATTGTTTCGTTTTCTTTTCTGTTGTCGCAATCTAGATTGTACTGCATTCTACCTCCCACCTCTGCAGTTTTCAATTTGTATCAGCTCACAATTTCTTTGTTCACTGATACATTGATGTTAAATTGTTTATAGAAGCTGTGTAAATAGCTTGTTCAATTGCTTATAGCTTGTTCAATTGTTTTCTTTCTTTAATAGTCTTGAGAGGTGTCAGTATTTTGCTGAATCACCATTGATTAATCCTGTTGCAGGTGATTTTGGACTTGCTAAGATGTTGCCATCAGATGATCTTGCATCCTCTGTAAGTCTTGTGGTTAACTGGTTCATTTTTCAAGTTTCAACATTTGCATTAGTTTTATTGTTCAAGATTTCTTTTTCGTAACTCAGGTTGTAGGAACTCCAAGTTATATGTGCCCTGAGCTTCTTGCTGACATACCTTATGGCTCTAAGTCAGACATTTGGTCCTTGGGTAAGTGTATACACAAATGTCACATAAATACATATATAAGTTATAATGCAATCATGAATGCAAGTTGCAACTTGGCATATTTTTGATGCCTATGAAAATTTAGATTTTTCCTCGTGAGGAATTGTGTTCTTATTTGTATATTGTGGCCTTTAATTAGTGTCTTAATCTAATCCTTGCTCTATTTTTGTTTTCCAGTCAGGCCCTCATCAAAAGCATGCTGCGGAGAAAACCCAGAACTTCGGCCGAGTTTATTTCCTGTTCTTTATTCTTTTTTTTACACTTTCCGAAAATGTTTTACGTAGGAGAAACATTAATATAAGCATACGAATGATTTGCCATTGCCTTAGATAATCTAAATGATTCCTAATTCATTAATTAGGACTCAGCTAGTTGTGTTTGTTCTAGCTAATATATTGCCATTCATAGTCATCGGCATAAGCCTTTTCTAGTAAGTTTCTCTAATAATTTTAAATCCCTGTAATGTATCTTCCAAAATTCGAAGCCAAGACATTTTTAAGGTACTTATTGGTTTTATGTTTCAATTGGATTTAACTTTTGTGGCTTTGTATATAAGGTAGTAATTTTTTGATTGAGAATTGTGAATTCAATTTTTGGATATGTTATTTTGTGGAAAAATTAATGCTATATAAAATTGAATCGGAAAGTGAATTAATACTATATTTGTTATTTGAATGGGAGTTATTATTTCATATTAGTGTTATTTAGTTTTATTATTGGTGTTCTTTTACTTCAATCACATAAAATTAGCACAATTTCAAAACCAAAAAAAGAAAGAAAGATAAGACGGCGTTTTTCAAATGCCACTACAACGGTTGGAATTTTTAAAATTAAAAAAACCTATGAAGGCGTTTTAAAAACGTCGCTAAAATCATACTGACGTCACAGTATTGTTAGGGCAGGGCATTTGGCGGCGTTTTTAAAAACGCCACCTATACTAATACAGCGACGTTTTCCAAACGCCATAAAGTTATAGCGACGGCAGCGTCATCGGCGTTTGGTATTAAACGTCACAAAAAAAATTGGCGACGTTTTTGGTACCTATAGCGGCGTTTTTTAAACGCCGCTAAAAGCCTAATTTCCAGCAGTGATGGAATCGAACGCATCTACGTGAGATATGAAATTTGAAGAGTGTGACTTTGCGGTTCAAACTGCATAAAGGATTGACCTATAGGTTGGATTAAGATATCTACAAAAGTGTCGAATACTGTCAGTGTCAATAGAGTGGACACGACAATAGAATGTGTTGGTATGTTATGATCCTATATCGATTAACATAAATCTTGGCCATACCGATTTTCAAGGGTAAGTTATACCCAAAGGATACGTATTAGAAAACAAACCCATATAACCATAAATAAAGTATGGTAGAATATAGTTTTGAAAATATTAATTTCTTAAGATTATGTATCTTATTTCACATTTGAAATATTCCTGAATCAAGAGGAAGAATTATTATAATTCTATCGTATCTCAAATTTGTTTAAAATCATTATACATAGATTTCGTAGTATAAATATAAAACATAAATGAGGTCCATTTTAATCTATTGTTTTCATCCATCTCTAAACCAGACTATTAGTTTCGAGCTCAATTTTTCATCCAAACTCTATATAATTTTTTTTATAAGACATGTAATCCAATCCCATATTATGTTCCTCCAAACACACGACTTACAACCTAGAGATAAAGGAATGCATGATTTTGTCTTTTCTTAATCAACCATGATCAAACAGGGCATACCACAACCTTCAACCGGGGCATACTGTTTCTTGAAAGATCTCCACAACCTTCAACCACCATATAAAGGTAACATTAAGATATTAATAAACAAAAAGAGGAGAAAAGAGACAAAAATAATAAATGTCAATGACAATGTCCAGCAGATCCAACAAAAAAAGATGCCATACCACATCCTCGCAAATAATACAAAAATATCTAAGATTAAATAAAAATAACAATCAAAAAGAAAAATAATAATATTAAGAGCTTAGATACAAAAAAAATATCAAGAAAAACAGCGTACGATATAAACTCATTCTAAATATGAGATCTACAGAGTCGAATTTGGATCACACTGTTTTTTTTTAAAATATTTTTTGCGTCCAAGTTCTTGGTCCTACATTATTGTAGAAAAAAAAAAAAAAAAAAAAATTCTCAATAATGAAGGACATCAAATTGTATCCCACAACAGCATCACCAGTGGTGTATTCAAAGAAATATGTCTTTGCAAGTAACATTCCACGTGCCAGTCGGAAGACACAGACCCCACCAATAAATTGCACTTTTCGCGGATACAATCCTAACTGAATTTCGACCCACAACACTTAAAGTGCTACCATTATATTTTCCAGTGGTGAAGTAAAGGATTCCATTCGGTCATGATCAGACCCAACTTGTCCACCGCGAGCCATAGAACCCCTGGGGCTTCGAATCTTCTC